GACACCCACAAAAGTAACCAGCCACATGAAATTCTATAGTTTTCTCCTTTTAGTTTTGTCGAAGTATCCTGTATCATAATTAAATATATTTATCAAAATATAACATGGTTTTATTCACTTGTTTGCTAATTAAACTCTTAAAAAGTTTGTGATTTTTTGTGGCTGAAAAGTAAGTTTCTGTTAAGAAGCACTCAATAGACTAAATAGTTACTTCTAATAATGCTTGTTAAATTAATTGTATTAATTTTTATTGTATGTTTACTGCTTTTTTGGGAAGGAAAAGTGTTTCTAAAAACAAAGAATAATTTGTAATGAGGCCAGCTCAAGTAGCGAAGTTGTTGCTCTTCATAATGATGAGTGTTCCATTCAATATATCAAAGATATGCTTGGCATTCCATGAAGTACAATATCTGATGCTTTATAAAGATTTTCAGAAACCGGTTCCCACTCAAGAAGACTTTAACAGGAAAGACCAAGGTAAACAAAGGTTGTGGAAGACTTGTTTCTTAAAATTCAATTGCTCCGAGAGCGAACAGTTACTGCTACAGCTTTGACTAGGAGACCTGTACTTACTTAGATGTTTATGGTACCATAGTTTCACCTGACATTGTACATTGAAGATTAAGCAAATAAAATTTATCGTATTATATACATGCTAGTCCCTTTATTGGACTACTTACTACGGACTCACTGACAACAATGATTTGAATTCTGTCATGGTCAGGCTGAGTGGGATATGGAAGATTGGAGAAACTTTCTGTTTATAGAAGAATTTCATTTTCGAGATATTTACCTGATGGCCGCCAAAGAGTGTGGAGAAACTGGAGAACTCTATGCTTCATGTTGCTCAACTCCTAGAGTAGGAGTAGAGTTTGATGGTAGAGGTATAATGGTAAGGGGCGTGGCAGTTCTTTGGAAGCACATACAGATTTTGTTTGTGATATGGGCAAGTGGCCTTAATGCCAATAGTTACATTAGGGAATGTCTGGAAGAACATGTGTTGTCTTATATGCATTTTGTAGGTGAAAACGTTCTATTAATATAGGATAATGCTCGGCCACACATAACCAGGATAATAACGCAATACTTTACAAATGTAGGTATTCAGTTACTAGACTGGCCACCTAGAAGTCCAGACCTTAATCCAATAAAACATTTATGGGACTTTAAAAGTGTAGTTAGGCAAAATTGTGAAAAGTTTAAAACTGTGGTAGCATAAGAACAGGCTCTAATAAACAAGTGGGAACAAATACTGCAAAATGAGATTTCTGCTTTGATTCAGTCTATGCCAGAAAGAAAGAGAGCTGTTATTCAAGCTCGAAGAGGAAATACTCAATTTAAGTATCATATTTGAGAAATTTTATTATTTTGATTTGAAAAATATCTTACTTCAGAATAAAAAAAATTGTTAATTTTTATTTGTTGTTACATTAGTCAATATTTTGGAATTTGTTGTTTATTTTATAATGATTTTTTGTGGCTAAAAAGTAAGTTTCTGTTAAGGAGCACTCAATAAACTGAATAGTTACTTCTAATAATGCTTGTTAAATTAATTGTATTAATGTTGGTTGCTTTTTTGAGAAAGAAAAGTGTTTCTAAAAACAAAAAATAATTTGTAATGAGGCCAGCTCAAGTAGCGAAGTTGTTGCTCTTCATAATGATGAGTGTTCCATTCAATATATCAAAGATATGCTTGGCATTCCATGAAGTACACAGTCTGATGCTTTACAAAGATTTTCAGAACGGTTCCCACTCAAGAAAACTTTAACAGGAAGGACCAAGGTAAACAAAGGTTGTGGAAGACTTGTTTCTTAAAATTCAATTGCTCCGAGAGCGGACAGTTACTGCTACAGCTTTGACTAGGAGACCTGTACTTAGATGTTCATGGTACCATAGTTTCACCTGACATTGTACATTGAAGATTAAGCAAATAAAATTTATCGTATTATATACATGCTAGTCCCTTTATTGGACTACTGACTACGGACTCACTGACTACAATGATTCGAATTCTGTTATAGTCAGGCTGAGTGGGATATAGAAGATTGGAGAAACTTTCTGTTTATAGACGAATTTCATTTTCGAGATGTTTACCTGATGGCTGCCAAAGAGTGTGGAGAAACTGGAGAACTCTATGCTTCATGTTGCTCAACTCCTAGAGTAGGAGTAGTGTTTGATGGTAGAGGTATAATGGTAAGGGGTGCGGCATTTCTTTAGAAACACATTATCATACAGATTTTTTTTGTGATATGAGAAGGTGGCCTTAATGCCAATAGTTACATTAGGTAATGTCTGGAAGAACATGTGTTGTCTTATATGCATTTTGTAAGTGAAAATTTTCTCTTAATACAGGATAATGCTTGGCCACACATAACCAGGATAATAACACAATACTTTACAAATGTAGGTATTCAGTTTCTAGACTGGCCACCTAGAAGTCCAGACCTTAATCCAATAAAACATTTATGTGACTTGGGAAGTGTAGTTAGGCAAAATTATGACAAGTTTAAAACTGTGGTAGCATAAGAACAGGCTCTAATAAACAAGTGGGAACAAATACTGCAAAATGAGATTTCTGCTTTGATTCAGTCTATGCCAGAAAGAAAGAGAGCTGTTATTCAAGCTCGAAGAGGAAATACTGAATTTAAGTATCATATTTTAGAAATTTTATTATTTTGATTTGAAAAATATCTTACGTCAGAATAAAAAAAAATTGTTAATTTTTATTTGTTGTTACATTAGTCAATATTTTGGAATTTGTTGTTTATTTTATAGTTTGTTATTATTTATCATAAGTACAATAAAAATAATTTATTGTGATTGAAGATTTTCTAAAACTTCTTATTTTATTTAAAATAAACTTAGTGTTCTGTTACTTTTGCAGGTCAGTGTATTTTGAATTCTTAAAAATAATTAATATTTTTGGTGAAATCATGGATGACTCAGATATATATTTAGTGGTCAATGGAGTTATTAATTAACAACTGTTTTGTTGATCACCAGTACCTACACATGACTGGCAGATATTCTTAAATATGGTAACAATTATTAAAAGTACTGAATTTGGTCTGAAATTAAATGTCTAAAAAGCACATAGTATGTAAAAATTTTGATAAATGCTTGATACCTAGTACCTACATTTTAGCATTGTTTCAAATCATTTTCATAATGGAATTATATGTAGTTATAATATTACTAACTTATAATTCCTTGGATTCTGTTTAAATTTACATTACTACAATACATAAGATACCAGACTGCAAGTTTTAAAAGTAAAGAACTTATAGAAGAAAATGTCACTACCTTTCTTCTATAATATAGAGGCAAGAACAAAGTGACATATCTATTCCAGGTTTCTTGAGAGACAAAAGCTGACCAGGAACCAACAAACAAAGAAAACTGCTGGTGTAACTCAGAAAGGGACAAAAAGCACCTGACGTGAGCATAAATGGGTCAGCAAGGAATTTTTTTTTAAGTATTGAATGAAATAAGGCCTCAACTTAAATGAGGCCTGACAGCAGGGACTAAGCTTATCCAAAAGCCACAAAAATAGAAGTAGAATATGCACAAACTTCCACGAGGAAACTAAGTTCCTGTAGCTGGCTGTATACCATATATCACAAAAAAATTTTGTTAAAATCCTTTATAAAAGGTATATAAAAATGCCTCAAACGGGCTATCACAAACACATTGCAAAACGTTTTCGGATTAAACAATCCATCATCAGTGCAAACGGTTGTACATGCTAGTAGCCACCAAAATATATGGGTAAAAACCCTTTAAATGTTATAAATTTGAAGTTGTTTTACATTAGTATTTCTAATTTGTGATGGTTAAGTTACCGTTGGATAGGTAACATGGCGGCATATGACTCTACATGAGTAAAATGGTCCTGAGACGAAGTGTCTACAAGGACCTGTTGATAACAACTCAACAGGTCCTCGTATGCCATATGCTGCCATGTTACCTATCCAACGGTAACTTAACCATCACAAATTAGAAATACTAATAATGTAAAACAACTTCAAATTTATAACATTTAAAGGGTTTTTACCCATATATTTTGGTGGCTACTAGCATGTACAACCGTTTGCACTGATGATGGATTGTTTAATCCGAAAACATTTTGCAATGTGTTTGTGATAGCCCGTTTGAGGCATTTTTATATACCTTTTATAAAGGATTTTAACAAAATTTTTTTATGCACAAACGTCTTTTCAGGTAGAAACATGAAGATATCTATGTTGTGAGACCAAATGACTTCTTAACCTACAATATAGAATGAATGGCATTAGTACCAGATCAATATTCAGAGCAACGCAAGATAAAGTGAAGATCATGTAATTAGTTATTGGAAGTTTCAGGTCACAGTACTTGAAGAAGTTTTGTTTGCTTCAGAGGTTACTGAATGTATCTTCTATAATTAACCTGTTATTATTAAGCAATATTAATTAGGATAAATATACAAAAGGTGTGTTCTTCCTATTAAGGATAAATGTTACTTCAATATTAATAAGCTAATAACAATGAATACTTCTTGGAATATAATAGTCCTTTCCTCATTTTGCATTTATGTAGGTTGTTGAACCTTCTTAAAAAAATGTAAATACTTAAAACATAAACAAATAAGGAATAATTTGTATCTGATCACCACCTGCATTTTGTATAATCTCTTTGTAACATTTTAAACATTTATTTGGGCTAATCGAGTATTATTGTTTATCGGTTATTATTTAAAATACCAGAAGGGTCGCGACCTAATAAATGTTTACTATTTTGTTTAATATTTACATTTAGATTCTGTTTACATACAAAACCGACATAAAAATAACTTCTCTATTATATTTTTAAATATAATTTTACCTTGGATTGTTCCCTACAATGTTATAGGAAATAGTATCTAGGATGTTAACACGCCTACACAAACAAAAAGAACCAGGTAGTATGTACATCTGGATCTAAATATTCGCGAAATAAAAGATAATTTAAAAAGTACTTACCGTTAATTCGACTGACAAGTCGGTACCATCTAATAAAATAACTTTACATTGCAACAAATTTTTGTTTATCACACTTTTATTCGATTTTGCATTTGTACTATTTGATGCATTTCTAGGTTTTCTTCCACTTAAAAATCTAAACATTTTCAACACTTATATCTCATTTCACGTTTAGGTTTGAGCAATTTGTCTATTCTATAGGTTAGATTAATTAAAGGCACACTTTACATTTACATTTCATAATAATTGGTCGATCTGATTAACGTAACTAGCGCTTTCACTTACTATAAGGAAGCCATATTAATTATGTGTAAGAATTCGGCAACCCAACCAGCTCTTGTTGTAAATGCAAACAATCAAACAACAGAGCCACCTGTTGAATTGGTTTTGTTTTTAAACGTGTTTCGTAAAATTAAAAATTCTGAATGTAGGCAACTTATACTACAGGGTTTCCCTAAAAACTTTTTCTTGAAGAATTAAAGTTTCAGGTTGGTCCTTACATCAATTTTGAATTTTTCTTTGCTACATTTCAAATCAATTATTTGTCGAAGAAAGAATGGTGAACTTAAAGAGTTGTCGCACGCCTTAAAAGTTTTGTATTGCTCTTGTAAATCTGAGTATTTATTGTTGATATATTTAACTGCTATATGTGAAAGGTGGAAAGAATATTTCGAAGAGATGCTAATTGACGAAGTTACTACTGAAGAAAATTGTTATGTTCCTAAATCTCAAATAGTAATAAGAAATACCAAAGCCCACAAGAGAAGAAATTGAAGAAATAATAAAAGATAATATGAAAAATAAAAAAAGCCCGGGAAGAGCTGCATTGTGACAGAGAACATAAAATATGGAGGACAGGCCTTAATAAACAAACTTGGTTACCTAATACTAGAGTATGGGATGCCGAAGAAATGCCTCAAGAATGGAATAAGTCTATTATAATTCCTATACACAAAAAGGGAGATAGAACTGAATGCGCAAACTATAGAGGAATATCCTTATTAGAGGTAATATATAAAGTACTCGCCCACGCCATACCAATTAAAAAACGATTAGAAATATATATATATATATATATATATATATTATATATATATATATATATATATATATATATATATATAAATAATACATATACACATTTACACACTGGTGTGTACAAACTTAAATGTGACGACTGTCCAAAAACTTACATCGGTCAAACTGATAGAAACTTTAAAAAACGAATAGCAGAACATAAAAGGGCTTTCAATAATAGAAAAACAGATTCTACATACGCACTTCATCTTCTAGATCATAATCATTCTTTTAATGACGAATTTAAAATTCTTCACATTCAAAATAAAGACCTTAAGCTATCTTTGTTAGAATCTATGGAAATCAACAAATTAAAAAACACAGATATAATTCTGAATGACCATCTTGAGACAAACAGTTCTCCCCTCCTGAACCTATTTCATTAGATACTATAAACTGCTATAAAGTGTAAACGTATGCCAAAAATAGATCACTTGAGAAAGGCAATCAGCTGAAACAGTTGTAGTGATAATAGTTAAAATAAATTTTGTGGAAGTTTGAAAACAAATTGTTACATAAAATGAATTTCCACCAAGTAACGGTCAAATCCATCAAACATTTTTGTTGAGTCCTTTACATCAGCCCTTTTGGCGCAAGCCGTCCCATACGCATTTTGCCATATGCTTGAATGGGTATATTTTATAATTAGCATGTGCTCTTATGGCAAGTTTATCTGTGTTATGTATGTGACACTATTATGTTCCGCTAGGCTATCGAATTCTTTCTGGCATTCCCACACTAGCCTAGAGTATTACTTAGAGCACTTAAGAGCCTCCATAGGCGCTTTACCAGCTAAGACTTGGCTGGTCTTCCTCGTTTCCTTCTATTACTTGGATTGTATTCCATAGCTTTTTTTGGCCATCTGTTGTCGTCCATCCTCTGTACGTATCCATACCATATTAACTGTCTAGTTTCTATTCTTTCAGAAGTTGTATGTACTCAGAATTTGAACACTCTTTCTGCCTTGTTGCACTCTATAGTCTATATCTCGTTCCGTTGTTCCTTTACTGCAGATAATACTTCACAAATATTTGTATTCGTAGCACCTTTTCATTTGTCTAATTTCCAAATCCGGGTCTTCGTCTTCACTGTCTATTCGCATATATTCTGTTTTTGACATATTCATACTCATCCCCCATTTTTCGTATTCATCTTTGAGCAAGCATATAATCTGCATTTTCTTCACAGCTTGCAATTAATACTTGATCATCTGCAAAGAACAGCATTGTCAGATAATGATTGTTAAGCTTCAACCCTATTCCAGCACATTTTTGTCTCCATTGGTGCAGTGCTTCTTGGATATATATTTTGAATAGGGTGGGGAAAGACAACATCCTTGTCTCAAGCTTTTCGTTACTGTAAATACCCTTGAGAAAGTATTTTCTTGTTTTTACAGTGCTTTGAGGACATTTATAGATGTTCAGTATTGCTTTTAGATATGTTTTATTAAGGTCCGTTTTCGTCAAGACACTAAATAAGAGTATTAAAGGAACTGTATCATAAACCTTCTCCAGATCTATAAATACCAGATGCGTAGGGAGGTTTCGAGCTGTTTGTTTTTCAATTACTTGTTGAAGGTTAAATGTGTAGACCCCGCACGATCTTCATGCTCTGAAGCCGCTTTGTTCTTCAATTTCTTTATACTCCTCTTCTATTCTTCTTTTCAATATATGACCATATAACCTTCCCAGCGAGCTAGTTACGCTAATGCCTCTATAATTTCCGCACTCTTTCCTGTCTCCCTTTTTATAAATGGGGCTAATGTGGGCCAAATTCCAATAGTCTGGAATCGTTTGGCCTTCAATTAAGCATTTATTAAAAATATTCACCAAGCTTTCCAAAACATGTTTTCACCAACTCGGTGGGAATGTCTCCAGGCCCGGGTGTTTTTCCATTTTTCATTTGTTTCAATTCTTTTTTCAGTTCTTCTTTGTTTATCTTATGCACCTCTGAGTTTTCTGTCATTGAGATATGGTCAGGTCAATTTCCAAGCTTGTGTCACTTTGGTTCCTCCTAAGCATCGGTCCATCTCTTCGCATTTCTCTTCCACATTTCGTTTTTTCTTTTAAGCGACTTCTTTCTTTGCTTCCTGAGTCGGCTGTAAATTCTACGGTCTTCTGAGTCTTTCGTGGATAGCCATATTTGATAAGATTTTTTTTGTCTTTAATTAATTTAACTACTTCTTCGTTCCACCACTCAGGATTTTTTCTTTTGTCAGCTTCTTTGTACCCCAATGCCTCTTTGGCCGCCTGATGAATGCAATTTTTTATATCTTGATATTCTTTTTTGGCTGTTTCTCTTCGAGTTAAGTGAGTTAGTTTTGAGGCTAGTCTAAGTTTGTAGAGGAATTGTACTGATTCTTGTTTTAAGCTATCAATATTATATCTTATCTTTGTGGAAGCTGCTACCTTCTCCTGTTCAATTTTGTTCTTGTTTACTTTCCTGTAGTGTATGGTTATTTTTGCGACCACCATATAGTGGTCAGATCCGCATTCGGCACCACGATACGCCCTTACGTCATTTGTTTGGAGCCTTTTGTTTTCTGGTTGAATGAGATAGTCGATTATATATTTTATCTTTTGCTTTGGTTGTTCCCAGGTAAATTTATGTATATCTTTGTACTGATAAAATCCATTCATTATTTTAAGCTGTAATTTTTCACAAAGATCAATGAGTCGCTCTCCGTTGTTGTTTATTTTGTCTTCACCATATCTTCCTACCACATTGTCTTGTAATTTTTTGCCTACCCGAGCTTTGAAATCTCCTACTAGGCATATTTCTTTGGATCGGTTTACATGGGTCAACACGTCAAGCAATTTGTCATAGAATTCACCCTTAACTTTTGTATCAGAATCGTCTCTAGAAGCATATACTTCTATTATAACTATCGTCTCCCCATGTTTCTCAAGATCCATCATAATGATCTGCTCGTCTATCTCTTCCCAACTCTTGATATTGTTTTTGAGTTTTGTATGCACGGCTATAGACACACCACTTTTTGCTCTTAATGTATTTTTAAATCCACTGTATAAATGAATATAGTCGTTCTTGATTTCATTTTCCTTTCCTTTCTTTTTTGTTTCTGTAAGAACACATATGTCTATTTGTTGTCGTTCTAATTCTTGAAAAACTTCAGTTTCCTTGGTCCTTAGACCTTGTACATTCCATGTGGCCAATCTCATAGTCCTTTTTCGTAGCAGTCGTCGTCTTTTGTTTCCGTCCTTATTCGAGGCTCTTGATCGAAATTTGTAGCAAATAACTTTTTTCTAGAAGAAGGGGTGCTGGCCCATCGTTCAAACCCCCAGACTTGGAGGACCAGGATTTGTGAAGAGTATGTAGTAGGAGTAAATATAGTGACCCGTCTGCCCTCAGAAACCTAATAGCCATTCGGGGTCGGAAAAAAACAAAAGTTAGTCAAGAGAGGCAGATAGGAAAGATTAAAGACATTTTACTCAAGACAAGTTGAAACAAAGTAAAATGTGAAGGCCCTTATGATCCTCCAGGTGCGTTTCATAAGCGTATGAGTATTGATACAATTTGTGTTCCCGCTCACACCTCGGGGTGTTGACTACAGACTGTATTGCTTGTCCAGCATGCCATAGCATGAAGGATAGGGTACACGTCATTTATACAATGTAGATACCCCAGCTCCATGGCCTGACAAAAATACCAATATATTAAATACCAACAAATATGGCGGTACGGGTTGGCCTTAGTGCCGTAATACACCGCTAAGAATTCACTAAAAACATTTAATTTACCTATATTTTGCTGAACACTTGTTTTTGTTTTATAACTTTATTTTCTAGTTATCTTCTTAAATGGCAAATGTCTCTCTTTTTAAATGTGTAGATATCTACAACATAATATATAGTCTCACTGATTCTTTTATAATGTTGCCTCCTAACATTGACGCCTTTAGGTCCTATATATATATATATATATATATATATATATATATATATATTATATATATATATATAGTATATATATATATATATATATATTATATATATATATATATATATATCATCACAGTCATTAACATCTTAGTAGATGTGTTGTGGTTCATAATTGGGCTTCAGCAGCTCGGACAGTTTGATTGATAATATTTCTCCACTGGTCGCGGTCATCAGTTATATGTATTGCCTCAGTATACTGTTTATTGAGAAGCTTTTTAGTAATGTCCGCCCATCGCTGTGGA